GCGGCTTCCCTTGTAGAGATGTAGCCAGAGAGCGTTTTATTTCAGACTCACTTACACCTCACCTCTCAATCGCAAATAATTCTAATCACACCATAACCAATCCTGAAATAAAATCTGAGATTTTAGAAAACGACATCGAACCAAGCAGAGAACAATCTTTGGACCAATCTTACGAGTGCCCAATAAGTATAATACCCGCCAACCGAACACATAGTACTGAGGAACAGAGAACCATAAACCAGGGAAGGGACAATGACACCATTGAACAACAGGACCTGTAAGACGTGTCTAATCCAATGGATAACGACTCAAATACGGACTTCCCGGTGTACGAGATAAATGACTCAACTGACGAGTGTACTATGCCTGACGAGTGTACTATACCTGCCAACCCTACCAGCATTTCCGGTAAAATTCCTCCTACCATCCGCCGCTCCAGTAGAAATGTTGGTCCACCAAAATTTTATGGTAAACGTTATTTTATTGATGCCGTAGAGAACGTTCAAGAAGCCTCGGGTTCTGCGGCCGATCCTATCGTGATAGAAATTGAAGGATCACTCGACACCATCAACAAGACAAATCTGGCGGAATTAATCGTCCTAGATTCAAATTCAACATCATCTGATCAAACGTCAACTTCATCAACCGACGAATCACTGAGAATGGAAATAGAGAATTTTGGAGATCACTCTGATCTCGATAGCGAACTTTTCAACACAGAACTTGAAAACTTTCTAAAAGAATATAAAACTTTGTAATCACTCATCTATACTCTAATCTGTTATTTTGGCTTACCAAGAAGCACATACTACCTTATAAACTGGTGCTAATCTTCAAATATTAATTTGTCGATCGGTAAACTTAAGAACTTTATCCTTCGGATAAACTTAATCCAGAAAAAGAAAACATCATCGTGTGCTCTCATAAATCATCCAAATCGACTTCCCTTCAGTTAGTCTATTACAAAGCAAGACCCCACCCATAAAACGTTGTGTAAACTTCACCGCATTTTATTTTGCTTTAACATAACCCTTATCCGTTGGATTCCGGATAATCTTTCTTGCAGTTATAGTAGCTGTATTTAATGCTATAGGGAGCTTTAGTTAGTGTCAGTTCTTGATTTTTAAGGCGCTTTAATTTTCTTTCCCTCGTCCTTAAAGGGGGAGAAAGGAGTCAGTCATAGTTAGTTCTTGTGCATTACCTTATTCGCAATTTAAATTTTTTCCTGCTTAGGGGAATGTTGTGATCTTACATCAGGTTTTGCAATTATTGCAAAACATACTTAGTTAATTAACCGGTCACTCATATATGACCTTCATTAGCACATTCTCTCCGGCGGAGAGAATGATCTCTCATTGTTTTAATGTTTTAACTTATCGACTAATTCATCTTAATTCTTATTCTTTTTAATAGTTTTAACCTAGAATTAGCTACAACAAAGTAACATTTTATCATGGGGATTATAAAAACCTGGCGTTATACTAGCTGATATAGACTATATTTTAATAGGAGGGAAAAAATCATCATTTTGGTGCAACTAATTACATAAAACTCTTGAAGCAGATACCTAGATTTCTATATTAGCACAGCTTATTCGCTAGCACAGTTTTTTAAACAAAATTGATCATATCTTATCATTATTGCACGATGAGAAGCAAAATAATTAGAACGGAAAACCGCATGTGTGATTCCAAATAATGGTTACATAAAATGTTATATACTCAGCCGGCCAATAAAGTCGCGAGTTAATTTCAATTCACTGTAATGAATTTCTACTTCAAATAAAATCAGACCTTTTAAAGGAAACATTTCATTCCCGTTTTTTCCTAATCCTAATGTTGAAGTAGGTCAGAAACAGGAAGGCGTAAGACGTAAATCAGGAACCAAAAAGCCAACGAAAAAAAGGACCAGACAAGTGGATCCGACCCCTTCTGACAACTTAACTAGGACACGCATATCAGGGTCATCACGCAATACTACAAGAAGACAAACACGCCACTCAAAGAAGTCATCAACTCCTCCAGGTTACCTTGCTTCGGATGAATCTATGCTAATTCCTTCGGATATTTCGGATACTAGTGAATGGGAATGGATAGCGGGCGGCTTCCCTTGTAGAGATGTAGCCAGAGAGCGTTTTATTTCAGACTCACTTACACCTCACCTCTCAATCGCAAATAATTCTAATCACACCATAACCAATCCTGAAATAAAATCTGAGATTTTAGAAAACGACATCGAACCAAGCAGAGAACAATCTTTGGACCAATCTTACGAGTGCCCAATAAGTATAATACCCGCCAACCGAACACATAGTACTGAGGAACAGAGAACCATAAACCAGTGAAGGGACAATGACACCATTGAACAACAGGACCTGCAAGACGTGTCTAATCCAATGGATAACGACTCAAATACGGACTTCCCGGTGTACGAGATAAATGACTCAACTGACGAGTGTACTATGCCTGACGAGTGTACTATACCTGCCAACCCTACCAGCATTTCCGGTAAAATTCCTCCTACCATCCGCCGCTCCAGTAGAAATGTTGGTCCACCAAAATTTTATGGTAAACGTTATTTTATTGATGCCGTAGAGAACGTTCAAGAAGCCTCGGGTTCTGCGGCTGATCCTATCGTGATAGAAATTGAAGGATCACTCGACACCATCAACAAGACAAATCCGGCGGAGTTAATCGTCCTAGATTCAAATTCAACATCATCTGATCAAACGTCAGCTTCATCAACCGACGAATCACTGAGAATGGAAATAGAGAATTTTGGAGATCACTCTGATCTCGATAGCGAACTTTTCAACACAGAACTTGAAAACTTTCTAAAAGAATATAAAACTTTGTAATCACTCAGCTATACTCTAATCTGTTATTTTGGCTTACCAAGAAGCACATACTACCTTATAAACTGGTGCTAATCTTCAAATATTAATTTGTCGATCGGTAAACTTAAGAACTTTATCCTTCGGATAAACTTAATCCAGAAAAAGAAAACATCATCGTGTGCTCTCATAAATCATCCAAATCGACTTCCCTTCAGTTAGTCTATTACAAAGCAAGACCCCACCCATAAAACGTTGTGTAAACTTCACCGCATTTTATTTTGCTTTAACATAACCCTTATCCGTTGGATTCCGAATAATCTTTCTTGCAGTTATAGTAGCTGTATTTAATGCTATAGGGAGCTTTAGTTAGTGTCAGTTCTTGATTTTTAAGGCGCTTTAATTTTCTTTCCCTCGTCCTTAAAGGGGGAGAAAGGAGTCAGTCATAGTTAGTTCTTGTGCATTACCTTATTCGCAATTTAAATTTTTTCCTGCTTAGGGGAATGTTGTGATCTTACATCAGGTTTTGCAATTATTGCAAAACATACTTAGTTAATTAACCGGTCACTCATATATAACCTTCATTAGCCATTCTCTCCGGCGGAGAGAATGATCTCTCATTGTTTTAATGTTTTAACTTATCGACTAATTCATCTTAATTCTTATTCTTTTTAATAGTTTTAACCTAGAATTAGCTACAACAAAGTAACATTTTATCATGGGGATTATAAAAACCTGGCGTTATACTAGCTGATATAGACTATATTTTAATAGGAGGGAAAAAAATCATCATTTTGGTGCAACTAATTACATAAAACTCTTGAAGCAGATACCTAGATTTCTATATTAGCACAGCTTATTCGCTAGCACAGTTTTTTAAACAAAATTGATCATATCTTATCATTATTGCACGATGAGAAGCAAAATAATTAGAACGGAAAACCGCATGTTTGATTCCAAATAATGGTTACATAAAATGTTATATACTCAGCCGGCCAATAAAGTCGCGAGTTAATTTCAATTCACTGTAATGAATTATCATTTATTGTTCGGACCATATGAAAAATGTGGAGGATTTGTGTATTTGAGTGTTTCAGTTTTTTATCTTGTTCTCCAGGCAAAATCAAGTAACACAAATAATCACCGGAATGGGTCAATTAGATATCATATAAAAGCCCTTTCAGTCGTGTTTCGAACGACACTAAAAAATTTTGAAATAATTTTTTTCAATGTGGAGAAAAAACGGTTTGAAATTTTTGATTTTGGGTTTTACTTCCAGCTTATAAGGTCAGCGTGCAGGCTCAAAATAGCTCATTAAAGTTTAATTTAAGCCATAAAAACTTGTTTTCTCGAGTGAAGTTAGTTTTTGGAGTTTTTCAGCACCATTTCGGGAATCAAAAACTTCAAAACTCAAAAAAATTCTGCAAAAAAATTTAAAAACGATTTTTTTTTCCGCTTCTCTAGTCATTTTTTTTACAAAAACTAGTTCCAATTAGTCTAATTGATTATGACTGTCGAATACATATAATTTCAAATTTTTTTTTCGTTCAGTTCTTTCTGTCACACCACAGAAAAATGACACGTATTTGAAAAAAAAAATGTATTTTTTTCAAGACTATGGTCGGAACATGGTCTTGTTTACTTTTGTTTTCTTTCTTCTACCTTCGGCGTTCCCCACTAATTTCAACGCATTTAATATCAATGAACAGATACAGATCTAGATGTGGGCATAATTTTGATTGTTTAAACCTAAACACTTCAAGAAAAGACTTAAGAACGATCAAAAAGTTACAATCGAATCACCCAGTATTGTCGATTTGACTATTCAGCATTGTTTTCTTGAGGTGCTTAAGTACAATATGATTCAAGTCATCCAGAGGAAACAAAACTGCCAAGCAGCCACAATTGCCTCTCAATCCTACACTTTCGCTCTACTTGCGCCTTATCTTCTAAAGTAATTGATCAAGTACAATATTATTTATACAGCAACCTGCGCACCACAGATATTATTAGCATACAAAAAACCAAAACCTTCGGTTCTTCCAGTAGGAAAAGGCTGAGTAACAAACTAGTACTTCCGCACATACAACAGATTTATAATTATTTGACTTCGAAATTTCGGTTTGATCCAACTAAGGATGACAAAAAGAATGGTATGTACACTAACCAGAGTGTACTAGCGATCCATCTGGATTGAGAGTAGGTTTGCCAACATATCTCATGAAGCACCACGCTCCCAAGTTACAACATGTCAAGAATACGCACCAGAAGTAGTCCCATAAACTGCAATGGAACAGTGGGAGAACGCACACTAGCAAATTCAGAACTGTCGAGACTATGACCCACTTTTGGTAGAAGGCTATGGTTTTGACGTTCTCTTCGTATATTAGCTTGTCTCCTTTCGTGCCCTGCTTGCCTGTTTTCGGGGCAAACATTTTAACCTGAAAATTCACGATTTTCGTTGAATCTACTTCTTTCCATATTCCGATCGATTACACATTTCAACTTTAAAACTTTCAGCATTTTCGCTTAGAGACTTCTTATTAAAACTAGTGTACCTGATTGACGGTAATCTGAGAAGGCAAATGAAACCTTTGAAAAAAATCAACCGAATTATTTCCCAATTTTCGGTCACTTTCGTTATAAAACGAGTTAGTGCAATGAGGTAATAAGCTCAATAATACCGTAACGAGTGCTTAAATTGATCAGAGAAATCTGATTTTTATTTCAGTCCCCGAAGTAAATAAGTCTGGAAAGCCTATACATTCAGACCAGTTCCTCTTGACCCTGACAACTTTTTAAAGTTTTCTTTAAAAACCGAATCATTCTGGAAGGGCTTCAGTATAATATATTACTTACATCCATTTGTCGTACCTTATTTTGCGTGAATAAAAAACCACCCTACACCATAATTTCTTCCCACTCACATGAAAAAGTGGTGAGGAACAAACAAGGACTAGTTAACGTCGCTAATTTTACAAGGAACCAAATTTCATTCCGGGTTGGACTTTTAATTACCTTAATTGGTATAGTTGAAACGAACGTTTGATCGATTTGACAACACCCCACCCCCCTCCCCCTTCTACTAGTACTACTAAATAATCTTCACCTCTCTAAATAAAAACAGTATATTAGCACAATACTCTCTGATGTATTTTACAGAACAACCTTTCTCCCCCTTTCTTGAAGGGTTGCGGGGATTGTTACGACGATAGCATACTTGTTATGAGCCAAAGCATACAACTATCTATAATACTGAAATGTATATTTTGAGTTTTACATCGTTCTCATGAAAGACATCAGCTGGTCAGAACTGAGAGATAACTCATTGCACGCTTCGATTATGTCATCAAAACAAAAGTACTTGAGCGATATGTACAACGGCTTACTAGGGTCATACTGATTTCGATTGAGAGATTTCAAGAACAAATTCAGAGTTTTCACATTGTTCAGACCCTTTTTAAAAACCTCAGCGTTGTGGGAAATTAACTCGTTAGAAACTCTCATTTGCTGTGATAAATAATAATACTTTTCTTCCAGCTCTTCACATCGAATCAGTAGAATTTCTGGGCATCTTCTCAGCGCTGCGTGAAACTGATTCACATCGAAAAGTATTTTATCTCTGAACAAATTCCTATTCCACGTGATACGATCTAAATCTGTGGTAATCAGTCTAGGAGTTTCGATTACTATCGATTTCAAAACCTGTGCTGGTAAATCGGTCATGCGTTGTAATACTGATAGCGTCTCATCAATCGCAGTTGGCTCCATGAGCAAACTTCGCGGATGTTTGACAAACATTTTCTTCATTGATTCGCTCGGAAAGTTACACCTTTTGTAATAATTCAAGTTAGCAACTATTGATTCTAAGGGATGTTCTAAAATGTGGGGACACTTTCCGATAATTGTTCCAAGATCTGACAGGGAAATTTCCATATATGATTGCAAAATGTTCAGTAGGGGAATGACATCATTTTCGATGCTGGTACGAAGTAGTATACGCCGCATTTCGTCGTTATTTTTGAGGTCAACTCGGTAGATATTGACACCAAAAATAGCCACTAGAACCTTAAAACAGAACAAAATATATGAACAAAAAATTTGAAAAGGTACTTACCAATCTCATTTAAGATCAATTGAGCAATCTCAAGCCCGTTATCAAACACCAGCAGATAGTTGATGTGTTCATAGACGTGTTCAATCAATTGATCGACTAAAGTTTTTTGTCGAGAAAATTAGTTGAAAAATTTTTGAAAAAAAAAAATATATTTTTTGGGAATATTTGTTTGGGCGATCATTGCCTCGAGTAAAGCAAATTACCAGTGTTGGTGTCTGAACACTAGTGAAAATTTTTAATAGGGTACGCAATATATATTTATTTTAATTTAAGATTTCAGCACCTTAAGGTACGCAATAACATTTTTTTCAAATTTAAGACTTCGGCTCAATTATTTCCTTAATTTTATTCACAACACTGATCTTAAAAACTGATCTAGTGATGACGATAGAGACGATAAAGCCGGGGTTACAACGAAAACAAGCGAACTGTAGACACGTACCTGCAAGTGAAACGTTGAATGTATGTAATGATTCAACTTTCTCCCTTCTCTCAAACTCGGTTTGATCAAATTGAACATTTCTTTCGTTGACAAACTGGCAAAATCTTCTTCTGCTGTATCATCAAAATCTTCATCATCAACATCGTCATCAAATTGTTCATTCATTTGTTCTACTTGAAAATCATCAACGATCTTCAAATCTGTCACTTTGTACTCATCAACAATTTCTATTTTCCGGGTTTTGAGTTCTGAGCCAATGAAACTATCGCGCTTTCTGTCAAACTCAAGCTCAGGTCCTTCAAATTGTTCAAACTTAGAATCATATCGATTTTTCTGTTCGGAGCAATAGCGACAACTATTAATCCCATTTGTATTAATTGATGTGCCACAGGATTGATTTGTTATTTTTTCCAATGCCTGAAGTTCCAATACGCTTGGTTGGTATATTTTAGGCGTCAGCAGCCTCATTAATCTCGAAAATGATTTCATTATTTGTCATTATCTGAAGGAAAACAAGTTGATATCCAGTCAAGAAAACAAAATCGCATATAAAAGCAAGCAATGCAACTATTGATAAAACTTTGTTAGTCTAACAGCAAATTAAACTAAGGCCACTCCCAGTATTCTATTTAAGTTTATTTCTAAACCCGATTAAATGCTAATTTGAATCTTACTTTGAGACGAAAAAGCATTTTAGAAGACGTTGAACAAACCTCTAATAATTGAAACAAAAGCGGCTGCTTCAAAATCAAAACAGATCACAAGTTGAGCAAATCATAACTCAAAGCAGAGGCGATGCTGAACTTCGCACCCTTTGCGATACATCGCAAACCTAGTATGACAAGCTAACCAACAGAAAAGACTAATGCCCCAGACGAAAAAATCATTTGGCAAAAAGTCTACTAATTCTACCAAGTTTTCACATACTTGACTCTATTTGTATCAAAAGATGCCTAAAAAGAGATCTTTTTTAAGCGGTAACTAAGCCGAAAAATCTTGGGTAGACGCTCGATAAGCCGAAAAAATTCAAGCAACAAAGATTTTTGAATCATAGATTCAGCCAACCTAAAGCACACTAACACGAGCATAAAAACCTATGTCTGCCTTTCAAACGACAAACCATGAGGCGAATAAGCCGCTTAGAACTCGGAACCGCTTAGCCAAAAAAACCTTTTGGGCAAAATAGGGTTGCTGTATATATTTAGGACCAACAGAAAATTTCCAAAACAAATAAAAACATCAAATAGAATGGGTAATTAAAATTCAAACAACCTCATAACATTTTAACAGCTCATAAGTTAACCAACAAAACTCGCTACCCAAACAATCTGCATGTCCATCAAGAACGTTCGGGTGTCTCAAAAGGCACATTCGACTGCTTGAAATAAACAAAGATCAAAATGAACAAACACTTGATTACACAATTTTCAATTAAATGCAAAAAAAATTTGCAGAAAATCAAAAGAACTCCGAAACCAAAAGAAATGAAACTAATTAAATTGCAGCAATCTTGTCAAATAAAAATCATACGCAATGGTAAGAGAGCTGAACCACAGCAAAAACGATAAATTTGAAAAAAGACGCATGTTGAGTAAAAAAAATTCGCTGTACCACTCTCATGAATGTATTTTAAAGGAAATTGCTCAGGAGTAAACATTCTGCTGAGCTGCTTTGAGCTAACTGAACGAATTTTTACATTAAAAAACAGATAGTGCTTGCAAAAACCATGAAAAATAGTTAGGTTCTTCGAAATTGAATTGAAACAAAACATAAGCCAAAAATAAGGAAAACATCAATTAAGCCTACGAAAAAAATCAATATACATCTGACAAGTTTCTCAGCTGTAGATTCAGTATTCGTTAATTGTAGACACACTAACTCTAGTCCCAGAACAAACGCTGCTAAAAACGCAACAAGGGTGAAACTGAAAATCTTCTAAAATTGGAGATTCTGTGAACAAAGTTAACTGCGGGAATAATCTAGTACCCGATTGCAATACCCTTGCTTACTTATCGCAAGTACAGAATTATGTGGGTAAATTTATTCAATAATTGATTATATTTTGAATAGGACGAATATATAAAATGTTAACATACATCTTTATGTTGCAGTTTTTCCAGCAGAGCGAACCACGAGATGAGTTCTGTGACCAAAGCTATTTACGGGGTTGCAATAAGCTTGCTATCGGTTACCAGGTTGCAATAAGCTTGCTTTCGCAAGAATACCAACGCAAAGTTACAAACTCTATTACGCAGATAGCTTTTAAAGGCACACACAGGCGTCGTTTTTATTTAATTTTTTAGGCACGGAAAGGAAAAAATGGAACGAGCTGCCTTAATTAAGAAAACAATGTTAGCCGGTTGTTGTGACAGTACCGACTACAATTATTCAAGAACAAAAATTCGAAAAAGAAGAAGTTTGCTTTCCAAAATATCAAAAAAATGTTAATGTCTGGCTGAAGGATGAAGTATTCCCTTCATGGAAAACTGAGGTTATGCCGATGGAACTGGTTACGGATTTCGATGAGAATAAACGTGGTGTCGAATAACGAAGTGGCTATGGAAGTTCCTTCTACGGAAAGACACAAAGAAAATGGCCTTGAATCACTTCTGAAGAAGTTGGAAACTGTGCTTGTAATAGATACAGTCGATGCTGCTTTGATTTCCTATGACAGTTTTGAATCTATTAAAAGGCTATTAAAACGATGGCAGAACAAATTCAAAGTTTTTAAATGGCGCACAAAAAAGTTAAAGAAACGAAAAATACCTAATCTCTATAATATACTTGCTTGAAATTGCTGAGACATACAGATTTAGAGTAGAAATAACGTCAAAAGGCTCTGGCTGCTATCGTTTTGTATCGTATGATGCAATCAAAAATGCGCTGAAACGCATTTTTGCATGCATTACGGCTGGTTTGAGTACGCCGCATATGCTTATTTAGAAGATCACGTTTTTCTGACCGGATCGAAGAACGGGAAATGTGGAAAACCCTTTTTCAACAAACCGGATTCCAGTGGAAATAACACAGTTAGAGATTGATAAGTCAAAACTTGTCGCTTGTGTAGATGCAGATTCCACTGGACTCGTTTGTGCCCTGAAGACAAGCATAAGAGCCTGCATGACAAGCGAAAAAGCGAAATGGCAGCCAAAACGAAGTGGAAGAGCAGAATACATTCATGACGTTTGTTTCTGGAACCCTACAAATGATGAAAGAATCAACTGAAAGCGCTATTGTAGATACAGCATATCCTCGTACTGTAGGTGGAAACTGGCTTCAAAATTTTGTTAAATTTCGAGCAACATTGTCAGATTCATTATTGTTGTGGTCAGAGGTTAGTCTCCACTTTAGATGAAGCTGGCAAGAAGATCGGTTCACTTAAAAAAACAATGAGAATGTCTGTGAACTGTGTTCTGAAGATCTGAATTTGGCAGAGCGAAAGCACGACTTTTTTGCGTCGCCTCCTTTGTCTGTCAGATGCAATGACATGACTGCCACTGATAAACATGAGATGACAATTAGGATCTTCTCTACTATTTGCATAGCATAGATGCATTCACAACAATCAGCGAGGTTTTGTTTTCACAAAAAAAAATCAAGAATGTTATTGTCGTTTAGTGAAAAAATGGTGTTTTCGACAAGCTTATCAACGAAACTACTAGGAGAATTTTCGCCGAAAATACTTTTAAAATTACAGCTGGTGGGAGTCCGTGTCAAATGGTGTCTGCGAGCGTTAAAATGCGCTTATTACTGAAACTTTCCTGAAAGTTTCAATGTAAACCAGGTTCAGAGCCAGATGTTTCAAACCACGCAATTTTGCCGAGAAATGCTTGTTAAATAGCTATGTATTTTTTCCTTATCAACTTGTTTACGGTAACAGTTTAAACAAATCAAACTTCACTACGAACTCTCCTCCGAATAAATTAAACGTACTTGAAGAAGCTTGCAGCAAGAAAACTCAAACAAGATCCATAGAGCCCTTTTGAGTAATATACGAAGGATCCAGACGACGCCGCCTTCCAGTGGTGGATCCGACATCTTGGGCCCCACCAAGATGCAAATGGCGTCAAGCCCCCCCTCCCATTGGGTCGGGAGAAGCTCAGAAGTCTCCGGGTTTTCGGTTACGGAGCGTCTGAAGCCGGCCAGGCTGCTCCGTCTGCTCATCCTTATACTACTACTCCGCTCCGGCATTAATCCAAACCCTGGTCCAGGGCCTTACTTTTGCTCCCCTTGCTCTTTCCGCATCAAACGCACCCAGCCCAGTGTCTGGTGCCACATCTGTGGTTACATTCACCTTAAATGTAGTGGTCTTACCCACCTTAACCAACACCACCCTGACTACTATTGCTCTACCTGTACCTCTACCTACATTTTACCTCCCCCAGGCACCAGGTCCTCTAACTTGACCACCCCCAACTCCCAAACTTGTTCAACTTCCATAACCGCCCCCCAACCCCACCTCCCTAACCCCCCTCCCCCTCCCACCCTTCCCACCTCCTCGAATAAAAATTCCTCCTCCCAAAATCGCGCAAATCGTAATCGTGTAAATAGTGTAAATAACTCAAGTACAAACAACCATTTTAATCATACTGCTGTTAATAATGTAAATAGTTCACCACACCCCGCCAAAGGCCTTTTAAAAATCCTTCAATTTAATTGCAACGGTATCTCCGGAAAAGCACCCGAAAATTCTGCTTTCTTATCTCAAAATCAAATTCATATTGCTGTCTTCCAAGAAACTAAATTAAGAAAGAAATCTCGAAACCCCTCACTAGGCTCACACTACACTTTAATTAGAAAAGATCGAGAAAAAGAAGGGGGCGGTCTCCTCATAGCCATACATGAGTCGATACAATACGAAGAAATAAATATTAACAACGATGGAACACTAGAGGCTATGGGCATATCAGTGGTAGCCAGTTCATCCAAGCTTCGTATTTATAATTTCTACATCCCCCCTCGCTCGAGCTGTCCCCCTGGTTACTCTGCGTCCCTTGCCGAACTACTTGAACCTGGGGACGCCTTAGTACTCGGGGATGCCAACGCACATTCACAACTATGGAACTCCAACATCGAGGAAGATCAACGCGGCTCTGTACTTAGCAAAGAAATAACCGAATCCACCTTTGCACCATTAAATGATGACACACAAACCAGAGTCCCTTTTAACTCAGAAAACCAACTCTCGTCACCAGATATTTCCCTCGCATCCCAATCGTTCTTACTCTCCACATCATGGACCCCAATTAAATCTCTAGGATCAGATCACCTACCCATTCTTCTAGAACTACCCTTGGATGATTTTATAAATTTTTCACCTAAAAGGACTTTTATAAATTTTTTAAAAGCAGATTGGATCAAATTCACAGAGGAAATTGAGGAGGGTTTCTTTTCAGCGGTTCCACCTTCCGGAGTTGCCGCCGGAGAGAAATTCTTGAGGGACCTGGTGCTCAGGGCAGCACGCCACCACATCCCCGCTGGCCGTATTCGCCACTTCACTCCCTCTCTTTCCCCCGAGTCCAC